GTTAAAAAAAAAAAAAAAAAAGCAACAATCAAATAGGTAATTGGTCTCAAGTAAGTTTCAACTTATTGGGACCTTCCTTCCTTCACATTCTTAACTGACAACCAAAAAAACCCGTTCTATGCACAAGCAGTATTTTTGTTGACAGCTAGGTTTTTATTTTATGGTTGTGTCTCCAAATGTCACTGAAAAATTATATAAATCCATTTTTAAAAAGGTAACCAAATGGCACTGCTGTTCTGCTCTAGTTAGTTAACAGTGTTACTCTAAGCTGAAACTTTTTTTTTTTTTGCATCAAGCTAAAGTTATGAAAGTAGCTGTGCCAAATTTTTTTCATTTGTAGCAAAAATAAAATTGCAGCGTAATTCTCTCAAAGATAAAAAGAATGACCAACCCGAGAGTCAATGAGCAAACCTGCAAATTTGCAAACCCCCTCTTACTTTCTCAGGAGGAATGCATCTGATGAAAGTCCAAGATCTGGCTGAGTGGAGTTACTGCTGCTGCTACTGAGGCAAGGTGGTAACATAGGTTCAGTTCCACTTTCTAGTCAAAGAAAGCTTCAGAATGTCATGAGCCAACTTGAGGCACTTTATTTTGCCAGAATTCAAAATGGTAACTTTAATGGAAACATTACCTGCATAGAGAAAGTGCACATCTTGCCTCAACCACTGTCTCTTGATTACTGGAGGCAAACCTGGACCACAGAAAAAGGTGAGGGGAAGGAAACTCCAATATTTGTCCCAAGTTCAGAGATCTTCTTTTAATAAAGCTATTCAGAGAACTGGAAACCTTATAACTAAACTCCACATCATTCCCACAAAACATTCTTCCTTTATATAGTAGGGAATATGACAATTACAAATCAAAATTTGTGTATAACATGTAATACTGGAACCATGGAAAACAATTTATTGGTGTAAAATTTGATAAAGATTTAAATATCTATTTTCTACTATACAGAGAGGGATGTTTGTGATTTTACTGTATTTTATAAAGGAGGTAGCTAACCCAAGTTCTGACCCAACCTTACACAATGGCATACCTACCACTTACCTTTGTCCTAGAACTCTTACAGACTTCAGATTCCATTAACACAGGGACCCAGCAAACCATAGCAGGGTTTTTGAAGCACGGAGCAACCCACCTGGGAAAGTCAACATACTATGAATGTCTGTAGTAGTTTTAAAACAGATCAAAGTGGTGTTCCATTTTATTTGAAGTTGCTGAACATTACTTTTTAAATTTCGGGTCCGACAAAAAAGGCATTTTCAGATATAACAGAGAAAAACTTTTTTGGAGGGTATCACAAAGCATTCAGCACTTGATAACCAAGAGTCAGTGTGCCTGAGGGTATCACAAAACATTCAGCAGTTGATAACCAAGAGCACAGACTCTTGTAGTGTAGGGTACCAGGTACACACCATCCATTCTTGTGGCACTATGGTGCTAATACAAAGAACACACATCTAGTTACTTACTTGATTACTTGTGATCTCTCATGACTCTGATACAACCCTCAGAGGCAGGTAAGAAATCTCCCCCCCAAAACACCTTGATGTGATACACTACCCAGCATTCTGTAGTTATGATGTAGGCATCCAATGCATTTATATAAAACAACTTTTAAAACATTGTGTTTTCACTGTACTACTTAAAATAGTACCTTATAAGAAGCCATTTTCCTGGCCTTCACAGAAGAGGTGCAAAATTTGATGCTCTGGAGGACTGTGGCAAGACACTTTGACTCACGTTTCTCTCAGCAGATAGCAAGCTGTTTGTATATGCATCAATGCTATAAATAATATGATCTACATGAAAAGGTGAATGTTTTGCAGATGTATCATGATAGAACAAAATAATTCTCAATTTAATAACACACTACTGAACTCCTTCCAAAGTCATTTAAGGCACAACCTTTGAATAGTGTAGCCATCATTTAATCTTAATGTTGCACTGCTTTTTGGTGTTGAATCTGAGAGGAAAAAAACCCACCAGAGGACAGTAATTTTCAGGTTCCATGAGTACTTCTAAAATAAGAAAAGGCTGACAGTGAAGACATGTTATGACTCCACAAGGCATCTGCATGAAGTTCAATCCGTAGCAATTTAAGAATCCTACTAAAAGTAATGACTGCTCCCAACACGGTGAAGGTAGTACTTACAAGGGGATTACAATGAAGATTAAAGCAGCATATCAGTAACAAGATAAGCCAGATGCACTCTTAAAGGAGGGCATATAGTATAAGTGTATTATCTGAGATTTGCATTAGTTAATATTATGTTCTATTACACCCTACCTTGAAGAAAAGTGGTATATTTTAAAAATGTACTTTATATTTAAAAAAATCTAGTAGATGCCAATTTAAATAAGACACTTTTAGAAAATTTCAAGACTGATTCTTGTATCAGGAGCATTACTTTTAAAAATAAATTGGCTACTGATATTAAAAAACAAATATAAATCTTATTACAAAGGAACTTGGAGAAGTGAAAAGGAAATATTTAAAATTCTATCACAAAAACAACCACTATTAGCAATGCGTTTGCTTACAATCCTTTCCCCTGTGTTATTTTACTTAATTACATTTACATATTTTCTATTTTTGAAAAAGAAATAAAATTAATAAAAATGGCATTGAGGGAACTAATTCAGCCACTTTCCCCCCACCCCAGCCATTTCTCATAAATGGCTTTCAACTCCTCCTTCAGTCCATTTCCTCCAATAACATGACTGAGTATGAACTTAAAA